TTCGATTCGTCTCCAGCCTCCTCCAGGACTGGTTTTGATGTGTTTGCTATGTTTTTGATATAGCTTCCGGACTTGCAGCCGAGCTGCTTCCCAAGCCGTGCTTTCCCGCGTAGCCGTATTGAAATCGCAACCAGAACCGTATCAAAATCGTAAACGGGGAAAACCCCTGAACCATAAGAAAACCATAAGATATTCATAATACATAATTCCCGGCACCTACCCTGACTTTCCCAATGCTGGGCGTCACAAGCTTACCGGCTGGACGATGCGACCAAGAGGAACCTCAACAGAGTGCCTTGGGCTGTTGCTGAGATGTTCTCATTCCATCCTGCGCATGCACGCCTGGAGTCTTGGACAGTCCGAGGGTCCTAGGGCCCAGCTCCAGACCTAAGCCGTGCCACCTTGTTCTGCTCTTTGTGGCCCGCCTCAAGCAGCCTCGAAAGGCGCTTTCAGACTGGGCTTACGGATACAGTTATCCAGGCTCGCAATGGCAGCAGCATGCGGACAGGGCTTGCGAAAGCTGGGATTTGTTTTTTGTCAGTGCTGGTGCCGAGGGTTTCGATTGTGCGTCGTTCTGTAAGCTCAGCTTCGCTTCCCTGTGCCAGCCGACGACGAGCTTCTGGAAGCTAAGCGTAAGCGACTGCAAAGGGTTTACCGCAAGGGATAACCATAAATATAAATATATATATATATAAACAAGATGTATGTATGTATCTATATATATATATGTATATATATATACATATATATATATATAGATGTATATATATATATACTATATAGGATAAGCTACTCTGCTGCGGTATCGCATCCGTTAGGGCGACAGAGCTTGGCAGAGCTAGGTCTAATGCAATTCCAGGCCGGAGCTCAGAATCTGAAAGAAATCGGCAAGGTCCAGGCCACTCCCAAGGCGCGGTGCAGTCCTCCTCGTTTCTCGTGCCCTTGTGTTGCGCTTTGTGCTGTCGCGACCTCTGGCAGAGTGTTCTTTCTTGTGGCCCCCTGCCCGTGTTGCGCTCAGCTGACCCAGCTCAAGACTGCAGTCAGCCCACGATCATCACGATGCGATCGTCCATTGCCATGGTCGCTGCTCTTGGCCTTGTCATTTTCACGAGGCCAGAAACGCCAGAGATCCCGGGCTCCCTGAAGCCCCGGGCTTTGAAGGAGACCTTGGATGACGATGACAAAAATGACACCAGCAGTACGGAAGCCTGGCGACTCCATCCCATGCCTAACCTGCTCCAAGGGCCGAGCTGCCCAGGAGAGTTGCGAAGAGTGCCGGGCCAGCTGGTCTTGGCAATCCTGGTAAGCTTGGGCACTTATGCGGGCCTTGCAGCCACATGTTGGCTCGTAGCATACTTGTGGTTTGTTGCAGATCAAGCCCGATGGGCACTGGCAATGAAGTGGCTCCTGCCCATCTTCGTCGCAGTGCCGCTAGGCCTGCTCGTCTCAATGCGAGCGGCTCCGCAGATTCAAGGGAAGTTTGAAATCTCGATCCCGCGCAAGTGGAAGCAAGTGCCACATTGCAGGCTGCACTGGGTTGCCGCGCCAGAAGATGTACTGCCCAAAGGCTGCAATTCCAACTTGGGCCAGGAAACGAGCCGGCAACGGCTGGAATACTACTTCGCCCTGATTATTCTCGTCACCTTTTCTGCGGGTCTCATGGGCCTGATGCTGACACTGGCCGGCCGAGGCGTCAGGGCCATATCTCGCTGTTTCAGTGAGTCGAGTGGGCCGAGCCGGTCAGCCAACGTAGCCATGTACGATCCACTGACCAGTGCCGAGGAAGCTTCGCAGCAGAAAGGGAGTTTGTTGGCGACCATATACGTGTTTAGCTTTCACGCCCTCTGTGCAGCACTGTCGGTTTGGGCGATGGCCACGGAGCACCTGACTCTGCAAAGCGGCCTTTGTTGGGAGCTATGGCTGGGTTGGTTCACGGCCATGCTCGCCATGGCCTTGATACAGGGCATCTACTTTGCAGCGCGTCTTCCATCAAATGTCCAAGTTCCCAACATGGGCGTCTGCATTGTGACATCCGTCCTCCCGATTCTCAGTGAGCCGTTGGATACCTTCAAGGACTGGCTGTTTGTCGGTCTTGCCTTGTCAACCAGGACCCGCTTTGAACTCCGGAGGGCGTTGGAAAGTAAGGTAAGTAGGAGGTTCAAAGTATTGCGAGAAAGAGCGAGAAAGAGCGAGAAAGGAGCACGTGTCACAGGACCTTGCCGGGAGCCCTGATGGCTTTGGTGGGTGTTGGCATCCTCGGCATCTCGGGCGCCTACATGCTTCAGTTTCATTCGGAAGAGCTCGAAGCAGGCCTACTGCCGGTTCGCGCCGCGAATCTCAGAGCCTGGCTTGGGCGCCCTGAGGAGTCCTTCCTATCAAAGCAAACCTCCCCGGCCAAGCTGGCCATTGCGCTCACCGAAGACCTGCCGCAGGCAGCCTTGCAGACTTTCTTCCTCTTCTTGTACGGAGGCGTTCAGACCAAGAATCTATATGCAACATGAAAACACAGACCACGCAATCATTACTTGAGCACGGGGAGGGTAGGACTTGCGCCCGGGAATGTCTGAAAGCTACGCGGCAAATCCATCGTAGCTGTGCCCTGTTAAGAGGTAAAGGGGTAAGGGGGTTGGGGTCCGCGCGGGAGGCTCAGAAATAATAAGTTCGGGTTCCCCTGGGTGAGGCTCCAACACTCAATCAGCGTTCATCGGGATCGCTGTCCTCAAAATCTTGGTGTGTTTCACTCTGAGAGCCACGCTTATGGAACGAGAAGGCCGCTTTGGGGATGCTTACGAGGCTCAGCTCCTCTTCTACAGGTTGAAGTGGCAGGTCGGGAGCATGCTCCTGGGGCCAACTCACCCCGAAACCCTGATAACTCAGGGCAATCTGGCGAGTTCGCTGAGCGACCTCGGCCGGCATGCCGAAGCTCTGGATGTAAAGAAAGAGGTGCTGGCTGCCCAGCAGCAGGCGCTGGGGCCAACTCACCCC